CCAAATGCCATAAGGAGCTCCCCCTGACACATGCAGGCAACCCCCTTCCCCCTCCTCCTCCATCTACCTGCAGATCTGCATGTAACCAAGAGACTCTACATGCAGTTGCTTGGCAACTAACTGCTCGCCCATCAATGACCTGGCTAGGACCATCAGGAGACAATAGCCCTAGTCCAATGACTCATTTCCTCTTCAGTTTGGTGTAGTGGTTAATTGTGCGGACTCTAATTTGGGAGAATCGGGTTTGATTCCCCACTCCTCCACTTGCACCTGCTGGATGACCTTGGGCAAACCATTGTTCTGGCACAGCTGTTCTTGAAAAAGAACAGTTCTGTCAGAGCTCTCTCAGCCTCACCTACCTCACAGGGTGTCTGTTGTGGGGAGGGGAAGAGAAAGGAGTTTGTAAGCCACTCTTAAACTCCCGTGGGTAGTAAAGGGCGAGGTATAAATTCAGTCTCTTCTTCTTCATCATCCAGGTGCCAGACCCCAGTCTAAGATACTAGTTCTCAATATTGACCACTCCCTAGCTCCCCTCCCCTTTTCCTTCTACCCAATAGTATGTTTTCAGGGATGGACTAACAGGAGGTGTCACATGGGGATGGGGCCAGGTCAGTCTGCCTCCCCCACACAACATATAAAAGATGATACCTGACCATATTAGCTCTCTCTCTATGACCCCTATCTGAGCTTTATCCCTGTTAAGTGCAGCTTGCTATCCCAATACCCTCCCTCCATCTTTGACTCTAGGCCTGCAGTCAGAGTCCCACGTGTTTCTGCCGGTTCAAGACATGTTCCTTATATCTAATTCTCCCCTCCCTTCTTCCAGTGGAATGGTTCATTCAGCAAGGACAGGTAACTATTGCACAAACAGCAAATATCCTGCTAATGTGAATGTGCTTATTATCTATCTTAATTTCCTAGATACTGTATAAGAGTGTGTGTGTTTGTGTATTGTTTGAATGATAAATCTCCTTCAGTAGTCTCCGTGTCTATTACTGGTAGCTATTGGACAAAGTGGGACCTCTGTGTACAATGGTGTTTGCTCCCTAATTTGCCTATTGCCAATTAATAATCATAAATTCCCAATATTAATTAAGAAATTAAGGCAATATGGCTAACAACAGTTCAAACATAGACAGAGGCTGAACAGCAAAGTAGCCTGTAACATGATGAAGATGTTTTAGGATATGTGAAGACAAAACTAAATAACTAGCTAAGGTTATAAGGTCAACAGTTGTTTTGATTTAATTAAGGGGGGAAACAGTGAAGGAATAAATACATCAGAATAGGAAATAAATGTGTAAAAGTATCCTTCCTAATTTTGGGAAGTAAACTGAGACTTGGTTGCTATGCTTCATTCATCTCCACTTACACACCCCTCAAACCTGATTCATTTACCACATAAGTGTTATTGAGAGTTATAATATTACTAGGAATAAGGCCCGTTGTGGAAATAAATACAACGAGATCTAGAAAGAGGCTCTGGGAGAGTGCTCTGGCTTTGGGCAAACAGTGTCAATTTGCTGTGGTGACCGCAGCAGGGTATAATGACAGAGTCCACTGTTTTCTCCAGAGGAACTGATCTCTGCTACCGGAATAGCAATTGTAATTTTGAGTGCTCTAGCCCTCACCTGGAGATTGGCAACAATTGTTACCCAGGATGAAATGGCTGGTTTGGAGGGTGGAGTCTATGGCATCCTACCTGTCTGAGGTCCCACCCCTCCGCAAACCCCACCCACTCCAGGCTCCACCCCTCAAATCCCCAGGAATTTGCCAGCCTGGAGTTGGCAACCCCATCTCCTTCCCAGCTAACCATCAACCTACCATTATCTGCCCCTTTGACTTCAGCTGACTTCTGCCCTCCCTTCTGCAGAGCAGTTGTAATTCTGAATGGTCTCCAGCCCTCACCTGGAGATTGGCAACAATGGTTCCCCATGAGGGACTGACTGGTTTGGAGGGTGGAGTCTATGGCATTGTACCTGTCTGAGGTCCCACCCCTCCTCAAACCTCACCCTCTTCAGGCTCCATCCCTCAAATCTCCAGGAATTTCCCATCTAGAGTTGGCAACCCTATCAGGACTGGCCCCAATGTGTTTTCTCCCAAAGGCCAAAATATGTGACAGGACCAAGCTTAGTTGCCTACCAACAGGCACTGAGGGGAAAGTAGGGTTGCCAGCTCTAAGGAGGGAAATACCTGGAGGTTTTGGGGGTGGATTCTGTAGAGGGCAGCATTGGGCGGGGGGGCAGCAGGCCTAGGGTTGTCATTGCCATTAAAGACAAATTGATGCAAAGGAGGATGGAAAAGTCTCCATTTCTCCATTTTGCCTTAAATTGGTTTTGATGCCAGCAGAGTGAGAAAATGCCAGAGGCTCTGGGTGGGTGCCCCATGGTAAATGCACCAAACAATTCCTAAAGATTTTCCAAAACACTACTCTGTCAATAAATTGTTTTCTACACTCACAGCGTCCCCTGGCAGAATGTAACACATTCAGTGTTCCCTCTAAGCTGAGTTAGTGTGAGCTACCTCACAGTTTTTTAGCCTCCTTTGCTCAGGAAGGAGGGCTTCAAAGCAAACTAATTCATGCAGCAGCCAAATCACTCACTCTTAGCTTTAATGCCAGGAGCTCACCAAGTAGAATTTTTGCTCACAGGACTCCACAGCTTAGAGGGAGCCTTGAACACATCCCCAGCACTTTGAATTAGCACCGGAGCTTAAAGAGCTCTCCAGCTGTCACCTGGAGATTGGCAACAGCTTGTTTGGAGGGTGGGGTCTATGGCATTGTATCTGTCTGAGGTCCCCCTCTTCCTCCTCCTCAGACCCCACCCGCAGGCTTCAACCCTATGTCCTTTCCAGGCAACCATCAGCCAACCTTTATCTGCCTGTCTGTCTTAAGTTTTACATCCCCCCCAGGCAACCATCAGCCTACCTTTATCTGCCTGTCTGTCTTCTGGTTTACATCCCCCCCACAGCCTCTGCCAAGGGAAAGGGCAGTTTTTCCCTTCAGTGGGATCCAAAGCAGCTGACATCCTCCTCAGAATACACCAGGTCCCATATTCAACTGACAATTTCAACTGTTTTGCGGGGGGGGGAGTTTGAGGTGTGGAAAGGAGTGAAGTCCAATCAGCTTCCATATGCAAATGACCTTGAAACGCTGCCCCAATCAAAGAAGAGTGGGCTGAAGCAGCCCAGCTGTAGAAGCCCCATCCCTGCACTCAGTCTGCAGATGGTCCTCTCCTGTCAGAGGCCCAGAGCAGACTGAGCTGAACATTCTGGCCAGGGTGGGTGGGACTACACAAAGCAGCCAGCGTCTTCTGACTGACAGTTCAATCTTCCAAACACTGTTGGTGTGCATTGGAATGTTGGGCCCCACTATGCCGTTATATATAAGGGAGAGGTGTCCATTTAAAAAGGGATTGTTTTCTTATAAATCTTTAAAAAATGGAATTTCTCACTTTTTAATATACTTTCATTTTGATGGCTGTATTCAAGTCCACTAGCAACTTAGAGTCTCGTGGCACTCAATGAAATTGCTGAGCAGTAGGGTTAGAATGGATAAAAGAAAGTACTTCTTCATCCAAAGAGTGATTAACACATGGAATTCATGGATGGCTTCAAGAGGGAATTGTATAAACATATGGAGCAGAGGTCCATCAGTGGCTATTAGACACAAAGTATAGATAGGAACTCTCAGTCTGGGGCAAGTGATGCTCTGTATTCTTGGTGTTTGGGGGGGGCAACAGTGGGTGGGCTTCTAGTGTCCTGGCCCCACTGCTGGACCTTCTGATGGCACCTGGTATTTTTGGCCACTGTGTGATAGAGTGTTGGACTTGATGGGCCATTGGCCAGATACAACATTGGCTTCTCTTATGTTAAGCTCTTAAAAAAAAGGGAGGAGTATTTTTAATTGGGGAAATATGAATCTCCCTGTGATCAAGAAACTTTACTTGCAAGAACTCGCTCGAGCAGATCTCTGGAGAAGCAGCTTATAAATGTTTGAAACAAAGGTTCTAAAGGAAAGACTGGTGTATTTTGAAGTCTTAATGAGTATTGCATCATATGTTTTAGAAGGGGGATTTGCTAATTGTTCTGAAATTTCTTTGTTAAGGTACCAAGAGGTTGTTCTCTGTAAACAGTCCATTGTTCCCTTATAAATACCCTCTTTTGTGTACTGTACTGGTGGAGTGGAAATATATTATTGTTTCCTCCAGGAAATTAGTCATTTTTTGTGATAGCCAGATTAATGTGCAAAAGCTGTATGGACTTACCTCTCAACCATTCTTCGTTGATGCCATGTGATAGTGAACGGTAAAAGCTGCCTCCCTCCCTCCCTCCCTCCCTCCCTCCCTCTCTTTTTGGTTTCCCTTCATGGGAGATCATCCCTGTAGGTGATGCAAAAGACCTTATTATTTTAATGGTGCAGCATAGGGCTTCTTTAAAGACTACATGATTCTCAGAAACTACTTCTGGAAAAATATATAAGGCTGGATTCATTGATGCTCATACTCTGTCAAAAACATGGTCTATTCAGTGGATGGTGGTTTCCAAGAGAAAGCCTCATTTGTACAAAAAGCAAAAAGTTGTGATTGTGACCATATAAATTGCTTGTAGTTGAGATCTATGTCTGTAGGAATCTGACCAACTTTCCAATTCAAGCCGAAATCCATGCATGGTGGCTATAATAAGGAGGGTAAATTGGCTGATATTGCATGGAAAGTTGGACACATCCAACTCAAGAAGCTATGTTGGGTTTGAAGCAGACTACATTTTGAACAATACAGTAAAACTTAATTACATCCCCTTCCTAATGCTGGCCACTAATCTCCATGAAAGGCTACTCCTGTTTCTATACATCCAAATAAAACATCTGAGAACATTTTTTTAAAATATCAGCATTAATTGTGTGAAAGAGGGTATAACAATTTCTAGGCTTTGGTCTTTTACTTGGAGACCTTATTTATTTATTTTTAAATCATTTTTTAGTTATTCCAACTATGGAGCACATGGAGACAGACAATAAAACAGCAGTAACTACATTTATTCTTCTGGGATTTGGGAATGCCCCTGGACTTCAGATTCCACTCTTCCTGGTTTTCCTAATAATCTACGGTCTAACCATTGCTGGAAACATCATTATAATTGTATTAGTAATCATGGATCATCACCTTCATATCCCCATGTACTTCTTCCTTGGAAACTTGTCCTGTTTGGATACCTTCTACACTTCAACTCTTTTCCCCAGGATGTTGGCCAGTTTTCTGACACGGGACAGAACCATTTCTTGTAGTGGCTGCTTCATCCAGTTTTACTGTTTTGTTACACTTGGGGTTGCTGAGTGCTATCTACTGGCATCGATGTCATATGATCGGTATTTGGCAATATGCAAGCCCCTCCAATATGCCACTCTCATGAGCAGAAGACTCTGCTTTCTGTTGTCAGCTCTGACTTGGCTTTGTGGAATAATGGTTTCAACTTTTTTAATGGGTTTGATGTCACAGCTGAAATACTGTGGCCACCGTGAAATTGATCATTTCTTTTGTGACTTTACAGCAGTGATTAAGCTGTCATGCAGTGACACAACTCTGGTGACACTGGTGAGCCTCACGTTATCTTTCATAAATATTGTCCCTTCTTTTCTTCTGACACTGCTGTCTTATGTTTGTATAATTGCTGCCATCATACGAATCCCATCGTCAGATGGGAGGGAAAAGGCCTTTTCCACCTGTTCTTCCCACCTCATTGTAGTCTCCATCTTTTATGGTTCATTGATATTAGTATATGTTCTACCACAAAAAGAAGCTCTAAGACAAATAGACAAGATCTTTTCAGTCTTCTACACAGTCTTAACCCCTCTAATTAATCCCCTTATTTATAGTCTAAGAAACAAAGAGGTAAAAAAAGCTTTAATGAGAGCTGTAAACAAATGTAGGATTTCCAAATGATCTGCTCAAGATATAGAGTAATCAGATTAAACTTGTCTGGAATGACATCTACAGGGTGAATAATTTTTTATAGGCTCCTATAATAGTTTTCATTTTATTTATGTACTTGAGTTTTTTTAGCTTTAGTAGTGAAAGCCTAATGGAATGCAGTAAGTGAAGAAAAATCCAGGTTCTTCTGAAATCCTCTTTATGCTGCTATTGGTTCATCCATGAATTAACTGTCAACATAACAACAGAAGTAGAAATATGTTGTGAGTATTTCAGGTACTTTTTTTTACCAAAACAACATTTGATACTTATCAGATCAGTATTTATTACTGGTATGAAAACATCAGTTTGGTGTAGTGTTTAAGAATGGCATACTCTAATCTGGAGAACCAGGTTTGATTCCTCACTCCTCCACCTGAAGCCAGCTGGGTGACCTTGGATCAGTCGCATCATTCTCAGAGCCCTCTCAGCCCCAACTACCTCACAGGGTGACTGTTTTGAGGAGAGGAAGGGAAAGTGCTTGGAAGCCTCTCCGAGACTCATTTCGGGTAGTGAAGAGTGGAGTATAAAACCAACTCTTCTTTGTCTTCTTTGAACACATGACAAAAATAATATTCATACCTTTCCCTGTAATTTAACAGCCTAGAAGCCTTACATCGGAGTATTTTATAAGTAATTCATAACTGCATAGATAGATACGGCTAAATCACATTTGCACTTTTTAAAATCTTGCCTGACAATAAAATCTTTAGTTTCTGTTGTTCTGTAGAAAGTCATTCCAGGGGTTATTGATTATAAAATGAGTTTTAACGTGGACAGCTAAAAAGGATATGGGCAATTGAGTCAATTTGATCTTCGCAATAAGTACAGAAGCGTTTCTTGGGGGGGGGGGGTTCCACTAAAACAACCCTTCATCTCTGCAAGAAAGTAACATATTGCTTCTAAGTAACAGGACAGAGTGACAATATTTTGGGACTGTTAAATAATACAAGTATTTAGTCAATTCAAACATTTTTGGATAAGATGAATGGAAGTAAATAGGGGAGCATTTCCAATCAGCTTGGAATTTCAGCATAGCCCAATCTTTTTTTATAATAATAATAATAATAATAAATTCTGTACAGCTAACAAGGATTTTTTTTCCCCCAGTGAGTCCCTGGAATTTAGGCTCAGGCTTAATAAAGCAAGCTTTGAGTCGATTGGGTTAAGCCAAGTTCCCAACCAGGAATCAACTGCTACTAATTGCAGTAAAGATGGTAGTGCATTAGGTTCGTGAAGTAATAACCTGAACTTGATACGATGGTACCATGGTATTGTTGAAATATGAGGGAGTCTGAGTTTGCCCTGGGAGGAAGAGAAAAAATGATACAGAAAAAAGCTTGCTGGTGCTTATTAAGAAAGTCCATTGGTCCATCGACCCCGATTGGGGTGGCATAGAGCAATCTGGTAAGGCCTTATATAACGTCAACAATCATTTCTTGAGAGTGATTAATGTCATTTGGGTATTCCTCATGGCAGCATTTAAATGGAGTTCCAGGATAAATCATAACAGGAGAGATGTCTTACCAGCAGTGCCCTGTGTGAACTCCGATTCAATACGACCTAACGAGGGGGCACCACTGAACGTGTCCTTAAACTGCACTTTAGTTTTATTGCCATCTAATGAATGTTTTATATTGATTGGTTGTGTTTTAACTGATGCCTTGTATTTATATTTTATTGTGTATGTACACTGCTTGTCAGTTTTGGAAGCCGTCCTGAGCCTGCCTGGCGGGGAGGGTGGGGTAAAAGTGAAATAAATAAATAAATAAACATAACACTGAGACATTTAAACTGTCTGAATTCTTCAATAGTTTCTCCAGCTGATGTTTGATTTTACTGTAAACATTGTGTTTTTGTGAATAGTGAAGAACCTTGAAAATCTCTAAATGCTAATAATAAACAATGGCAGTCAACAAGGAACATTCTCTAACTGTGCCATTAAATAATGATTTATTTCCTGAGTTCATGTATTCCTTTGAGAATTAATTATTGTAATTGGGAGAGTAATCTATGCTCATGGAACATCGAAAAAGGGAGAAATAATTCCCACCCTAGGGAAGTTTTTCATTGCATTAGCATTGGGAAGAGAGTTTGGAGAGAAGTTAAGAGCCCTTCCTCCCACCAACTCAAGTTTCTTCAGCTTAATCAGGCTCTCTTTTAATTTTAACAGGCAGTTCCTACAGCTGCTTGTGGCTATGGGGGAAGACTCTTTAAAAATAATTGTAATGTCTGATTAGTTCTGCCATTGATGAAAACATTCTCTGCCTAACTGAGCAGCCAGAAAAAAATTGAGTCCATTGGCGCCTTTAAGACCTACAAAGTTTTATTCAAAGTACAAGCTTTCATGTGCATTTTATCTTCATGATTAAAATCCTGTGAGAAAGTTAGGTTGAAAAGTACGGCTGGACCACAGTCGCATAGTGAGCTTCCATGGCAGAGCAGAGCAGAGCTTCAAACCTTGAAATCTCTGACCCTCAAACTATATCACACTGTAAATTTTGGAATGTCCCAAATCACCAGAAGTCCAAAACATCTAAAAAATTTCAAACAAGTTGGTCTCATGCATAAGTAAATGAAAAGCAGCGTATTGATGATAGTTAAAGATAAAGGGTTCCCTTGCTCAAAAGCCAGTTGAATATGACTCTAGGGGACGGTGCTCATCTCCATTTCCAAGCCGAAGAGCCAGCGCTGTTGGAAGATGTTTCTGTGGTCATGTGGCTGGCATGAGTAGAAGCTGAGGCTCACGGAACACTGTTATCTTCCCAATGAAGTGGTACCACTGTATGTTTCTTCATAATTCTAGGTTTTAAAAAGCATTGAGGATAAAGTCAGAAGAATTTGGCTCCTACCTGCAGTTGGACAGCGGACGTGCTGCTGGTGGTGCCACCTTTGCTTCCTCTGAAAGGAGGAATAGCTGGGCTGCACTTTGCAGCTGGGTCTTTTGTCAGAGGGTGGAGCTGAAGCTTTGTAACTGGAAGCTTTGGCTTCCCTCCCAACCCCCCTCAGTCTTCACCTCATGTTCAGACTGAGAGGGACCAGGTCAGCTCCCCTTCTCAGTCCGAGCTTTGGCCTTTCAGTGAGAGATGGATGTGGTGACAATGGTCAGCGGGAATGACCAGTGGCAAGGATGATTTTGGGGTTCCTGCAGTCACCCAGCAGCAGGATGGTTGTGCTAGCAGTCGCTCAGTGGGGGAAGGCTTGAGGGCATCAGAGCATCATTCACCCATAAGGGCCATTCAGGTAGAACTGCCACAGCTGCCCAGGTTTGAAGGTGAGTTACCCCCACCCCTCCCTTCTGTAGAGGAAGCTCAGAGGTTCAAATGATAATCTAATGATTATTACTGAGATTCCAGAGGTTCTTTGGGAAAGAATTTTGGGTTTTCCAAAAACAGATTGGTAACCTAATAAGAACTAAGCAGAAACAGGTGTTTATATTCTATTTAGTGGTAAGAAACAAGAATTTCCTAATGAGCATGTGTTCCAACATCAGTAAACTTTTTAATGAGGATGGTAGCATTCACCACAATAATGAGTTGTCAAACTCTCTTCTTTAAAGAGATGAGTTCAGAAGTTCATAATGGTTTAATTTTAAATAACATAAAAACAAACTAAATTTCTCCTTTTTATGTTTAAAATGCTTTAACTTATAAATACTGAGTTATTGGAATCTATTAGCAATATGCATGCCTTTTAGCAGCTTATTATTTTAAGGCAAAAAAACTGTTTGTTTGCTTGCCTTGAGAAATAGTTATACACTTAATGAACTGAGCTAACAAAGTATGCCCAGTGAGAATTAATTGGGGTGAACTAAAGGGTAACTGTATTGTGAGAGAGAGGAAAACCCCTCTTCTGAGTTTCTGTGTGCTTTTAAAAGTTAAAATAAAACGTTTATATTTTGTTTATAGCTGAGAATGAAAGCTTATGGTATAGAAAAAAGAAGAAAAGAGAAGAGACTGGATTTATACCTCGCCCTTCACTCGGAGTCTCAGAGCGGCTTACAAACTCCTTTCCCTTCCCCTCCCCACAGCATACACCCTGTGAGGTAGGTGGGGCTGAGAGAGCTCTTTCCAGAACTGCCCTATCAAGGAAAGCTCTCATCAGAACTATGGCTTGCCCAAGGTCATCCAGCAGCTCTGAGGAGTGGGGAATCAAACCCGGTTCTCCCAGATTAGAGTCTGCACACTTAACCACTACACCAATCTGGTATAGAATGTTTACAAAGGAAACAGCTAACTAAAATACTATTTCTTAAATAAGAAGTTTTGCTAATGCATGGCTATAAGCTATACGATTAAAGTAAACATCTAACCATTATTTTAACAAGCAAAAGAAATGGAATGTGGCCAACTAGGTATGAAGTCATCTCAGGGCTCAGCCAAAAACTAAATATATTAATTGTGGATCCTAACATTAATAAAAAGGTTAATAAAGAATGCAAAACATATACACACACAAACCCTTTATTGGCAAGAAGAAGAAGAAGAAGAAGAAGAAGAAGAAGAAGAAGAAGAAGAAGAAGAAGAAGAAGAAGAAGAAGAAGAAGAAGAAGAAGAAGAAAGATTGGATTTATACCCCGCCCTTCACCACCCAAAGGTGTCTCAGAGTGGCTTACAAACTCCTTTCCCTTCCCCTCCCCACAACAGACATCCTGTGAGCAGTGTTCCCTCTAAGCTGAGTTAGTGTGAGCTAGCTCACAGTTTTTTAGCCTCTGGCTACACATTTTTGTCTCAGCTCAGGAAGGATGGCTCCAGAGCAAACTAATTTATGCAGTAGCCAAATGGCTTGCTCACAACTTTAAAGCCAGTAGCCCACAAAGTAGAAGTTTTGCTCACAAGACTCCACAGCTTAGAGGGAACATTGCCTGTGAGGTAGGTGGGGCTGAGAGAACTGCTCTTTTTTCGAGAACAGCTGTGCCAGAATTATGGCTTGCCCAATGTCATCCAGCCAGGTGCAAGTGGAGGAGTGGGGAA